CCAATACTTGTCGGGATGGAGAGGGGGGTGCGGCCTGTGTTCACATTTTAATATTGTTTCAATGAATTATGGTCATTTGTTTCACAATAACCTTAAAAAGATGATAATTCCATGTCAATGCACTTGATTTAACCCGCAGCGATGTTACTGAACTGCTCCTTTGATAACAAAGCATCCTGGCAAGGTTTTATACAGACCACTGCTAGCAGCCTGAAGCTGTGTGCTCTTGATTCATACATGAAATGACAAGCAACCAAGCTTTTCAATTTCAATCGGATGAATGGCAAATGTCATAGATCCACCTGCATTAGCATAGATGTTATTAAGATATTATGGTTTGTCACTTTAGTAACTGACAGGCAATAGCAGTGGTTTATTTAAGAGCTCAACAACTGTTGCTTCTGTTTACATCGACGACTGCTGACGACGTGTCGGGTTATCGCAACGACTACTGATGATGTAACGGCTTCTTGAAGTGCTGTCCCAAATCGTAGGAGAAGATTTGAACCACTACCCCTTGTGGCTCCGTTTCAAGGGGCAAGATAACCCTCGAAAACAAGGGGTAGGGAGAAGGGGTGGAATGGGATTGGGCCTAAGAGATCCTCTTTAATTTTTCCTGTGTAAACCATAGACTGTGTTTAATGATGGACGACATGACAGCTCAGCAAAAGCATCTTAACACTCCATGTTAGTGGGTGAGTTTGTAAAATGGGAAAACGCATTTATTTCCATTACAGTTCTGACTTTTACATTTAAAGCAAAGCACAGCAAAAAATGGATATGGGCAAAGAGGCGTGATGCAATTTAGAAAAAAGCAACTACAATAAGGTGTCATACTTTACTGTAACATAAATTAGTTTTTTTTCAACCAACAACCAATAAAAATAATGCCCTGCTACAAACCTGTAGGCTTCATAGCTGTTTAATGGACATTTTCTTTATGATAAAAAAAATTGATGCATATAATATGGAGGAATATACTGCACATAATTACCTGCAGGATGCAAATTCATTTACTATCCCCATGTCTGACTGTTTAATAGATTCCATGGCGTGCAATAAGAAGGTGAAGGTTACCGTTTGCCACACCACAGAATAACAGGCCATTTAAATACATTGATAGATGTGTTATTGCCGTGCATGCAAGGGCGTATTTAATGGCACACAGGCAGGCTTGAGTATCTAAGGTGTGTTGTCTGCTGTAGGTGACAGACATTGACATAACATCTGTGTACTGTATGTGACAGAGAAAAAGAGGCGTTCCTCTCAGCCTGTCACAGGCTTCCATGTTTCTCTCACACACACACACGCACACACACACACACACAAACACACACACTATCAGAGCACTGCTCCACTCAGCTCAAGTGCTTTTAAACTAAGCCATAGCAAGACAATGCGTCTCTCTGTGAATTGTGGATTGGTTTGACTCCTGAGTGTGAAAGGTCTAATTGTTGTGACTTTGATTGCTTTTAAAGAGCCGCAGCTTGAAGATGCATTACTGAAACCCCACTTAACACAATGACTCTTCACTTTCCTCCAGCTACGTGCCTAAAAGCAGGGCTCCTTTGTGCCATCAGTCATTAGACTGCACTACGCCAGAGCACCTACAGTCGAACATTTTACTTTACTACATCATCCCACTACTTTCTTGTGTTGTTGTGTCATTTATGACTTTCCTCTATGGAGGATCAATGAAAGGTTTTATCTTACATTCAAGACTACACCAGCAGTAGCTGGCAAGTTTAGTCTTGACCATGTTAAGATCAATGAATGGTTTCAGCTTTCTGTTCATTTTCACACACACACCTTCGCAGTGACCGTTATCCATCTGCTTTTAGTCATCCTCAGTTTCTCTGGCATTGTTACAACACTACAAAGCATACAATCAAATGCTTTGTGCCATATGAAGTGTTGTAATTCAGCTCTTTTGTGTGTACTGGTACAGTGCCTGTTCTAAACCTGCCTGTTTGCCTGGTCTGTGTTGATGCTCCAGAGCTGCTTCAGAATTATTCCTCGTCATTAGTGAGTCCTCCTAGAACAGTTCTACAATATAGTGTCACTTTTTTATTGTCTGTGTGCGGGATGTTGTGTGCAGAGCTTTTTATAAAGTTTATAGTGCAGAGTGAAGTTGAAAAACTTTTCTTTAAGATTTTATAGCCACTGTTGTCAAGAAATGAAACTGATTTTCTGTACTGTATAAGTTTGAATAATTATGATGTTTGTGAATTATCCATTTACTATCGCAGCCCTAGCCAGCTTCCATATAACATGCTTAAACAAGTGGCTTTCAGCTTTGTTCCACATGAAGAAGAGAAGATGATGATGATGAGCAAATGTTTCCATTTAACAACGAATGAATATAAAAGGAACACATCTTGTGTCTGTGTGTTCAGATCTCTAAGCTGCTGTAGCATAAACAGCTGCTCTTCTCTTTCCTTCTCTCATCAGAGTCTCATGATGATATTGATAATGTGACAAATCCAATAACTAAACACATTATCACCAACTTTCTACTTTAACTTATAGAAGCATGTTCCAATTGCAAACCGATCTCTGTGTGGGAGGTTTCTACCTCTATGACATCAGGGTGGAGAGAGAGGGAATAAACTGGATCCCTGCGAATGTCTGGATGGTTTTATCTGCATTTTAAACCTGGGAACACTGCCACCACCCATCCAGAGTCCAATGGGGAAAAGCATTTTTAGCTACATTTTTCATTCCACTCTAAGTGAACAAAAACCACCCTGTATTAAGGATTTTAATTGAACACTGAGCCTTTCTTACATTATTCAAGTAGCAGAGGAACGGGTAAACACTGACAATCACTAGCGATAAACATGAACACACTGCTAATGTAAAACACAGGCAACCACCCATGTCTGTAATGTTAATTACTGCACACAGAGTCAATTCTGTAATACAACCTCCTCCCTCGATTGCTGTGTTTGTTCACTTGGTTGACAGATGATTTGCCAGTGATAGCTTCTATCTAATCTAACTGTATTATAGAACATTATACTGCCTGCTAATGGAGGGGATTGCCCCGTTTGCTGAGGTTAGTCACAATGTGGATGGATTCCTCTGAACCTTCAGTTTTCACTTCAAAACAGTATTTTTTAAATCTGCTTTAGACAAATGCTGAGAGGAGATGGAGAAAATAATTGTATAAAAATAAAATATACTAAGTGTTTTAAATTTAACCTGCATTCATTTACCCATGCTTCTTCTTGGCTAGATTATGAGCAAACATGAGTTACCACAGCAAATGACACACATGGTGGTTGGTGCTCTATACATTTTAAGGTCTTGACCTTATTATGTTTGGCCCTTAAAATCGAACTGATCTGAATACCTTTTATTAAAATCTAATCTGTTTGCTATGATTTATTTTTGTGAAACACTTTGTAACCTTGATTAGATTAGTGCTATACAAATAAAGTTATTATTATTGTTATTGTAGAAGCACTGAGAGCACTCGGAGTCATGGTTATTAAACATAAACAAGCAAACTAAGCTGAGGAGTATTTATGAGTGGTGCACCTAGTTTTGTGGAGTCATATTATTTAAAGCCTTCACAACAGCAGATGTTTTTTGAATGGATATTTTCCCATATGCTTTAAAAAATATCTGTCCACACAAATGTTGTTTTACAAAATATTTCTGTCATTGCAAGATCACAATAATGACTGCAAATGCCCAAACAAGCCGAGCCAGTACACAGTAAGTCTACATCAATTATCGTCAATTTAGCCGCAAACCTGTAATTAGACTCAGGAGTGACCAAACAAAAAGAAACTGGTGTGTATACTCCATTGTTGGAGTTGTTTGTGGTGCATGTTCATTACAGTAAACATGCATGAAGTCATCTGTGACATCATTGTTTCCAAAACACTTTGTTTTACATGTTTTTCAGTTTTCGAAAATCGCCATTTTTGACGGCGTTTGGATGAGAGGCCCAAATGCAAAGGAACAAGTTTGCTTTGTAAAATGCTAAAAATTGCTTTCTCCAAAAATGAATGAACGAATATATTTGTAGGCCTGTGCATAATCATAAAGGACACTTTCTTGTGTTCTGACAGATATTTGTGGATATGCTCATATTTCATAATTTTATCATCATTTGAAGCACTCACAAAAAAAAAGATTTAGCCTGAGCTGAATATTTGCCACTCAAGTTTTCCATGCCTGACTTCCATAGCAACAGTAACCAAGAGAGGCTTAGTGAACTGTCAGTTTACAGCGAGTGATCATTGTCACATGTCAGCAGGACTGCTGGCTTGAGATGGACACACAGTGGTGGCCTCTGTATAAGATCATTTCTATCTTTGACCACAAGGTCACCCTATTTCACAAGCAGGGCCAAGTGATCTATAAAACACTTTAAAACCCTTTTTTCTCAAGGCCGCTGCACGTCCAGCATCTCTGGCACCGTTTGCTTTTCATTTAAAATGATGGATCCTACGTTATCATGGTCAGCTTGACGATATTTAAAATCCACTTTCAGTCTGAGGATCCACCTCCCGAGAGATGTGGAAATTGAGAAATCCAATTGCTTAGAGTTTGAACACTTTGTTATTAGTGAGGAGAAATTAATTCTACTTTATCATCAATTTATTGGCCCATGAGTAACCCATAAATAATACAATGCTGACTGCCTCTGACTGTCTATTTTTTCAATAACCAGATGCATTAAGGAAAGCTGTTCACAATAAATGTGCTGGCAACGTTCCACTTAGCCACATGCCATTAAAATTACTTTGTAATAGGATAGTATGCCCACGGTGGCAATAAAGTCTAATAAAGATCAGTCCTTAAAAACAAAACTGATCCTTTATAAACAACAGCACAACGCTATAATACATCCTAGTATGCTATGATGATAAAAAGATAATCTTCCTCCATCCCCTTTTATCAATGGTGTAAATGTTTGTGTTTAAGTGGACATTTTTGAATCTATGGAAGCATTTTTTTCATGTTGCTGTTAGTGTCAGACTCACCTGAGACGACACAAGTTTCCTCACACGCTTCCAAGGTGTCAAAATTGTTGGCGTTCCCTCCACAGCCTCCATATTCAAACAGCTCACAGTGTCCCGTGTCCACGTTGAAGAAGAATCTTTCTTTAATGGCCTTGCAAAGCCCCGGCTCGTCCTTTAGAGCGCACAACTCATTGAAGATGAAGAGCTCGGGTTTGCCTCTGCCTGCTGAAGTGGGATAGAAAGACAACATTTAGTTCTTCACTTCCTGTGGCACTCTGTGGGGGGTTTTAATGATTGGGGGAGGAAGAAATTAGGTCATAGCATTAAACTCTAACCTAAGGCTTTGAGATAAGGTAAAGTTTCATGGCAGTATAATTTTCAAAATACTCTTTGACAGCTTACTGTCTTTATACTGGGTCGCGGAGGGAGGCTATGCGGAAGATTTGTAAGTGCTTAGAATGGAGCTGTGACCTGAATGACTCAACATTTGGACTGAATAATTAACAACATACAAATGTCAAGACAAAAAAATCGAGAAAGCCACTCATACTATTTTTGATATATTCTAAATAACTGAAAATAAAACTCCTGCAGGCACAGGTCTCCAGGTGTTTCTATTCAACTCTATGTTACAAAGAGAATAAGGCACCTATATCCCCTCCAGTACATAAAAGCAGATCCAGGTTTGTGGCAGTTGGCGGAAGAAGAGTGACTGAAAGCTGTGGAAATCTCCCAGCATGCACCACACAACATTAGCTTTCATTGCAGCAGATCGAGTGGCATATTGCAAAGAGAGACAGTTTGGTTTAAATCATCTGGCCTTGTGTGGAGAGCATGTCTGATTACAGATGGTGGTGCAGTAGTTAGCACAGTCACCTTACAGCAAGACGTTTCTGTATTTGAACCCCAGGAGCACATTCAGGGGTGGGACCAGCTGAAATCTGATGGGACCCTAAAGTACATCTGACCTTAAACAAGACACTTACTAACAACATCATCAATAACTTACAGTTTGTTAAGAATAAAATGAACGAGGAACAATTTTCAACAGCTTACAGTAAACAAGAAATAACTATAATCGTATGGTCTTGATGACCAATCAAAGCGCTGTACATTTACAATTGTGCATGGATGTTAGACATGTTTTAGCCCCTGTAAATTGTTGACCCTTTTTGGCCTCTGATTGAGAAGACTCATTGATACGGCCCTGGTATGTTGTCCCTGAGTCTGCACTGGTTTTCTCCAGGTGCTCCAGCTTCTGACCACAGTCCACAGACATGCATGTAGGTTAATTGGAGAGTCTGAATTTCCTGTCAGTCAGTGTGTGGATGCTTATTGTCTCTGTATGTACACTAGCGACCTGTCACGGGTGTTCCGCGCCTAATGTCAGTTGGGAATGGCTCCAGTCATTGTGTGATCATCAAAGGATATGGCTCATCCTCCTATCTAGGGGGGGGGGGCTAGATAATGGATGGGTGAATGTCTGTTTGCTGAGAGTACAGTGAAAATTGTGTTGGACAGAGACCAAGGTTACATTTTTTCATAATTGTCAAGATCAAATAGGCAGCTGCTCTGGACAGTTAACTCTGCTCAGACACACTTCGTCTCTTTCACTGTCAGTCATGAAGGCTTGGTTTGTCAGATCCAGGAAACCAGCTAAGCTCCACTAATCCATGATGTCAATGTTAATGTCAATGTCTGCCTCTGTCCTTGTCCTTTTTAAGTCCATTCAGCCTGGTTGTAGTAATACAATTACTTCAATAGCCACGGAGAAGTCAGGAATATCTGTCCAAAGAGATGTCCAAGGTGTATTCACAAACCTTGATGCTCATTTAATTTCATTGTCTTGTCATTTATGGAATGTCATCAGTGATTACTACTCATCAGTCAACATACAAAACCTAGTATCTGCATTAATCATCGAAGTTTTTCAAGACTGCACGTCATGGAAAACCAACATTAAATTATCATTCCTGTAAGGTGCATAGTTTAATTAACACAGTCTCTAAAAGGAGACATGCTGCCCTTTTCCTCAGCACAGCATTCAACTAGCAGTTCCTTTTCCAGACCAGGTATAATAAGGGCAACAGCTCACCACTGTAACCCTCCTGCTCCACCCGTCCAATTCCATCTTACAACCAGGGACGGAGGGAACAAATCAAATACTCCCAATCTCCTCTCTTCCACACAACCTATGGTATTGCTACTGCATGTCAGAGGTGGTGTGAGGGTGGCTATAGGCTTCTCTGCGTGGTGTTTTTTTTTTTAACATTCTTCCTGTTGTGGCTGATAAGCAGCAGCTGGGGGAAAAAATTACATTACATCAACAGAAGAGATGTGAGTCTCCATCAGGTAGCCAGACACATTTTGCATGTACGTCAGTAGAGTTACTGCTCTGAGGTTGTGCGCCTCCCCAACCAGTGCAGTTTCTATCCATCCAAGTCCTCTTGACATGCTACATCCATGACAATATGAGATCACATTGACCTTTACCTGTGACCACTGAAATCTAATCAATTACTGTGTCCAAGTGACAGCTGGTTAACATTTGAGGTAGACTATAGAAAAAAGGCTTTGTGAGGCCACCGTGACCTTTGATCACCAAAATCAAATCAGTTCATTTTTGAGTCAAACTGAACACTTGTCAAGTCGAAGGAATTCCCTCAAGGCCTTCTTGAGATTTTGCATTCACAAAAATGTTTTGTAAGGTTAAAGTGACCTTGACTTTGACCACTGAACTCAAATCAATTCATCCGAGAGTCCAAGATATCATTTGAGCCAAATTTGTCAAAAATCCTTGGAGGTGTTCCCGATATATCGTGTCCATTTTGTGAGTTCACAGTGACCAAAATCTTTCTAAACCAATAAAATGTAGTCATTTCAGCTGTCAATCTAACTGAATGGTAATCACAAATTTTAAGAAATTCCGTCGCGGCAATCTTGAGATGCACTGTTCATTATAACGGGGCTGAGTGTCAGAGGGACTGGCAGCCTGGAAACATGATGCCTCCGGCCACTGGCATAACTACCCCTCATCTCCAGTGGTGTCACAGAAAAATCTTATTTTCCAGTGTTTGTAATTGACTAAACAAGGTCCACATGATCGGAAATCACAGCTTGTTTCATCTCTCTGTTCTCAACACTGTAATTATTATTGTGAAGCTTTCACAGTGAGATTTTATTACAATACAGAACATTATTCTCTCAGGTTTGCTGAAGTCTTCATTTTAGCCTGAGCATAAGAAGATGGTGTAAAGGTTTATTTTCCTCTGGCCACATCACTGAGAACAGATTATTGTATTTCATGTAACAGACTGGAGGTGAATGGATTCTCCAACCAGAATGTCCATCAGTTGTAGTAGTTAACTGTAACTCTCTCGAAAAAAAAAAATCCTGGTTCTGTCCACTGATCCATTCCACACCAAAATTCAATGGATTAATTTCACAAAGTTTCATTGCAATCGATTCTTACACACTCTAACTAACAGAGAGACTAACAGACAAACAAACAGAGACAAAAATATGATCTCCTTGGTGGAGATAAGCTGAGCTAGCTGAGTCTGCTGCTCCAATTACACAACTCTGAACTCTGCTACCCATTTATTTAACCTGTATGTCTTAACCTAATGTGTTATTGTTTTAATGTAATTTAAATATCTTATTCCTTATGTATTCCAATCCCTTTATAAAGCACTATAAATTCCCTTGTATCTAGATTGAGCTATATAAATAAATCTGCCTTGCATGATCTATCTATAGACAGTACGAAAGCAACACATCTTCTGCTATTGGTTATTTACTCAGCCAACAGCAGCACTTTACTTTTAATGCAAGTAATTTACCAGCCATGTTGAGGCCATAGTTCCACTATCCCCCTGACTACCACACACATGCTCATTGCTGATCCCCCTGAACAAACTTTACAGAGAAATAATGACAAGTTGAGATTGTTTGCCTTTGCCTCTATCGCTGGATTCTTCAAGCTACCATGGGTGCAGCAAAAATCCTTTTTGGAGAAAATGAAAAAGTACAGTTGCAGTGCAGACTGGTCTTTGTGAAGTACAATCTCCTCCAAACAACAATATTCAATAAGTTTGAACTTGGCTGCCCGAGAAGAGAGAGGAAAACCAGTTCTTCCCATTGATTTGTACTCCTCTTGTTTGACACAGACCGAAGTACAATGAGCAGTATGTTCCTCGATCACTCATGTCCAATATCCAGATGGAACCATTGAGAGGCAGCTTGAAACATAAAAGAGGACGGCAAATTAAATTGTGCCGAAGGAACACGTGTGAAACCGGACATTTCAAGCCCATTTTTAAAAATACAAAACCAGGACCAGTATTCCTAAAATGTGCATTCAAATAATGTGGAGAAAAAATTGAAGCTAAGTGGAAGAGAAGTGGAAAAGAGGAGAGCGGCATCAGTTTCAACCATAAAACATGTCAGTTCCTTAATTTAAATGTACAATATGTAACTACTACCAAAACGATACAAAAGACCTTGTTTGATGATGTATATATAATATTTAATAGTAATATATATCATTTTTAACACATCTCGTCTTTTCTAGACACATTTTAATGAAGAATTGTTACATATCATATCTTTAACTATCAGGATTTCGACCATTTGGTTGTCTCACAAAGCGATACAGTCCAATGACTGTGAACCTTTGGAACTGTGGGGGTTTACTGGTAACACACCTCGTATAAAACAAAGCAGACCTACCTTTGTATTGTCAGCTACATTGTGAAGGCTGAATTTCAGTTACCAGCACCACCAGTCAGTCAACATCTGTGGTGGCTGAGTCAGAACAGTAGAGCTAAAGTGCGTTTTCTTTTTTAATCAGATATTTAATTTGTCTGGGTGTTGGTTTGGTTGTTGAGCTGTTTTGCAGAGACAATCATAGGCTTTTATTTGGGTCAGGATTATATTAGACACAGGCCTTTACTTCTTATCTCTCCTGTTCCTCCATGTTTTCCTGTGTTCACACTGCTAATTCCGTCAGTACAGTTGCAGTCATGTCAGGCTTTCCACTGTGTCCCCCAATGACTCTAAGCTACCATGAATAACACTCAACACTTCCTCCAGAATGTCCATATTAAGTCCCGTCTTTACTGGCAGCCTCTCGGTGTGAAAAACCATGAGCGTGTTGAGCTTTTCAAGTTAATTAGAGTGTGAAAATATAATTTCTGCTAATGAGAAACTGAGAGCAGCAGAGT